AGTATTTTCAATCACTCTAAAATGTCACATCTATCACTTAGATCAGCTGTTCATTTTTAACTGAGTACATATTAAACTCTGGGCATCTGCTGACACTGGTGTAACTCAAACATTTCAACTGTCTCGCTGACAGGGATAACAGATGCTGACATTATCAAATGCTGTACTATTTTTTTTCCACGGCCTCTCCTTGCCCCGATATGGCCAGTATATGAAACTGAACTGCCATCCAAAAGCACACTGGAGCAACTGGATCTGCTAAACAGCTCCCATATAACTAGTAAAAATAGAAGCCAGTTTTATTGCTATCATCAGCACTGAAGTCCACGCAATTTAACACCTGTTTCATTTCTATTAGAATAAATGATGGAAATAATTGTAGTCACATTAATTTCACCCACAGCATGATACTCATCAACCAACAGATGGAGAGTATACTTAATATGAGAATTGTTTGAATATTGCCTGAATTAGTGTTGACCTTCTCCCAGTTTGGTTCAAAACATAACTATTTCTTTACTCTATATTTCACTGAGAGCACTTATAGGCAAACTATAAACTGCTCAAACTTTTATTTCAAGCAAGTATTTTCAGAAGACATCCCTTCCCAATACTGAAAACCCCTTATAACAAAAATTTGTTCTACTGAGTTTTAATGGTAGTTTTAATACTCAAATTCATGATTATTACTAACCACAAGTCAATGTATTATTAAGCTAATAATGAGAAGTAACTAGGCAAGCTGTACCCAAAATGACAGAGAATTCAGTCAAGGGACTAGACCTTTAAAAGGGTTAAATTATTAACCTATGATTAATAACACTACATAAGCAAAAAGAAAGAAAAATAAGCTATCATGCATGGCAGTTCCTTCCAACACAAGTCTAAGCAATACACCGAATACACGTGTCATCTATTTATAATCCAAAGCACAGAGGTACTTTCTTAAGGCTACTCATTCCTCCACCCCGTCAGCAACTTGCTGTTAGTCCTTAAGTATAATACTAAAAAAAGCAGCGGCAGTAGCAAAGTATGACTAGCAGTGCTCTTCCCTAACCTATTTCGCTTACTTATTTGGTTTACTGCCCAAGGATAAATAGATAACATTACTCTGATACACATCAAGATCTATTTGCTCTTTTTTTTTTTATTTGCTCTTTTAAATGGTGTGGGTTTTGAAACAGGTCACTGTCTGTATATAAGAACTAAGCAAAAGTGTTAAAAATAAAGACGTACATTGATAACTCCTTAATGCACTAACGACGTGTTAAAGGGTAAAGATTTTTGCACGACTAGAGTAGGGAATAGTAGGAAAAGTGCCTTCAAAACATAAAGTTTTACATTCAATGGCTGAAATACTGATATGAGAATCTCTTAACATTTGTGGAAGGACCATAACCATAATTTTTCAAATAAAAAACATTTTAACTGTTCTGGGTCCCAAACTAGCGGCACTGCAATGCTTTGCTAGAGCTGGTAAAATGGAACCAAATCGCCTCTTCAATGGATTTGGTCCCCTTCAACCAGCTGTAGCTATGCATTGATTACTACAGGACAGCCAGCGTTTCCATTTATCAATATCAATCACATCAACTAATTTCAACTTATTTAAATTACTCAGATTGTGGTTTAAATCAAATAATTTGTTACTGTTAATTCTACTTGGAAGAGCCATAACGGTAAATAATGTTTATAAACAGCTTTATGAAAAATGTGTGGATGACATGAGGCTTTCAAATAAAATTATTTTATTCATTTATGGTCTCTTGGTATTAAATTTCTTATCCTTCAGAAAAGAAATGGTACTGAAATGTAGACTATGCCACACAATTTTAAAAAAACAAAACTTCCTTCAAAGGAAGAAAATATCTGGGAAGGTCACCTGAAACCATAACAGGAATGTCACAGTGTGGGCACGTACATTTTTAAATTAAAGAAAAATGTAACATTATATAAAATAAAACTCCAGAAATGTTGAGTCACTACCTTCCATATTATTAGCATTTAATTGTACAGCTATTTAATAGGACAGTGATAGGTAAGGTGGAAAAGGAGATGATGACACTGCAGAGCATCTTATAGACAGACTTAAACAGAAAGTATCTAATTCTTCTGACCCTGAACCAAAGGACTTTAATCCTCAAAAAAGAAACAAAATACTAATAACCATTGCTACCTTTTTACTTATTAGATATTTCACCTCTCCAAACATGTTTCCTCAGTTGTAAAATGAGAAGACTTTTTTTTTTTTTTTTTTCTAATTCTGAGTTAAAATGGTTTCTTCTGTCTTAAAACATCACTGGTCAGTACCAGGAGAGAAAAGCCAATTTTAAGAATACGAAACTTGATATAGAAAAAAAAGAACTCAAAACAACCCAAGTTACAATTACAACCAATATATAACTTGTGTTATCTTCTGATATTCTTTCGTGTCCAATTAAAATCACACTTTATTGGGCAATGTACAGTCAAAACTGCATAAAATGTCTTAAGGAAATAGGAATAAAGAAGTTGTGTACCTTTAACTAAAGCACCACTTTGTTGTAGAATGGAAGTTTTTTTTCCTTTCTTTTTTGTGTCACCTGACACCAATTATCTGGTTGGAGGAGTCACTGTTATAAATTTCCAGAGGAATTCTCAAGAATTAAAGAAACAGAAGTAGTATTTTTTTCCTCCTTGTATAGGCTCAACATTATTAAATATACTATGCCTATTCTCAATAAAGTTAATTCAAAATATTTAAAAGTTACTTCCTAAACACTTTAATTTTCAGTCTATCTTAAACTTTATAACTTAAAAGTATTATAACCTAAATTAAATTCCCTCAATAAAATCTCTTTTTGACCATCCTAATTTGAAATAATTGCTTTGTTTCAACTCTTGACCGTTTCTCTACAGAATTTATATTTTAATTGATCATATACTCCTGTGATATCTAACACTGTCCTGACTGTCAAATGAAGACTAACATGTATTGAGTCCCCAGTATAGTCAAGGCATTACAGGAGATACACAGATAAATATCTGTGCCCACAATTTTAACAGAAGGAAACATAAAAATGCACATACTAAGTGACAGCACAACGCAGATTATAAGTGCAACAAAACAAAAACACAGAACAAGGAAGTATAGAGCAAACAGAAAATAACTTCAGTGATGATATATAGGAGCTCTGGAAGAGAGGTGGTTAAGAAAAAGAAGGGATAAGGGCATCTTAATGAAAGAAAATGCTTAATAAATGAAGGAAGAGAGCAGACAATTTTAGGGAGAGAGAGTAGTATAATGTAGCTGAAGGGCAAGTTGGGCAGAGGGATTTTAATTAGCAGGAGATAAAGTTAGAAAGTCAGGCTCATGAAGCACAAGAAGTGAGCTTGATATATTAATACATTCTTAGTCAAATCATTCACTGTCCACGTGTTCCAGTCTTGCCTCACATACAGACCGTAATCACAGAAAATAATATAAAGTGGCTAAGATCAGTGATTCTAAAGTCAAATAGACCTTGCTCAAGTTCCAACTGTTCCACTAGTCAGCGGCATGATCTTGAATAAGTAAATTCATCTCTTTATAAGCCTCATATGCTTCATCTATAAAATGAGGATATTAACACCTGCTTCAAAAAGCTGTTCAAAGGATTGAAATGAGATAATGCATGCATACTACTAGCGGCCAGGGATGTGGTAAATGCTGTCATTATCATCTTTTATTTGAAAGGCAGGGAACATATAATACTACTGTGTCTCCTTTACAGTGCCAACGTATAAAGTGTTCAAATATTTGTAATTTGAAAAAACAAATCAAGATATAACCTAAAACACTGCCATTTATTTCATCCTAGATTATACACCGATTGTTACAGCTACCAACAACCAATCACAATAAAATCCTTTTGTTCTCTGTGCTCACCCTCTAGTGGTGATCCTAAGAAGCTAAAAAAGAGCAAAAAAAAGTAAAAGGAAACATGATGTAAAAATGCAATATACATCATGAATAAGAATTCATGGTGTTTATAGTTAATAATACTGCATTGTACATTTGAAAGCTGCTAAGAGAATAGGTCTTAAAAGTTGTCACCACAAGAAAAAAAATTTGGACCTATGCGTGGTGATGGATGTTAACTAGACTTACTGTGGTGATCACTTCACAATATATACAAATATCAAATCATTATTTTGTAACACCTGATACTAATATAATGTTATATGTCCATTATATCTCAATTTTTTTTAATTTAGGGTAGATTAAATCATGAAAATAAACTTCTAAGTAAATATCTCCCTCAGTCAATATACATGGGCTTGATTCAAAACTATAAACAGAAGACATCTAACGTAGAATTTTCTAAAATGCTTCTCAAGGTAAAGTTGTTCCAAAAAATTCACTCATAGAAAGTTCTAGGTTAACAAAGCTAATAACCATTTTCCTTTTCTGTGAGACTTCGCAGATCCTTTATGAATTCTATGACTTCCCAAAAGTCTTTCTTGAGCTTTAACCAGCAAGCACTTTTTTCAGTAGACCACCTATTACTATAACAATGATTGGAGGACCTCTATACTAGAAGTTTATAGGTAATTATATTATTAATAAGAAATCAGGTAACTTAATAATTGTTATTTAGCCACAAGTTTAAAAAAATAATTACCATGCAAATAAATAACATGGGGCTAGAGGACACCTGAGAATGACCTTGAAGAAACATAAATCTCCAAATGGAATGCATTTTAATTAAATCTTCAGAATATAAGCAAGTATTCCTGATACTTTATATCCATATTTAATATATATTTAGTCATTTCATAATACTTGTATTAGTTTAACCAAAAAAAAACCATATAAAACTGATCTATTTAATGAAGTTCATAACTTCCACAGACCTTAAAACAATTTAAAACATTAAAGTAAACCAAAATTATTTCCTCATAAGTATCAGAAAAAGAGAACCAGCAACAGGAAAATATTTTTAAATTGCATATAAAATAGTAAAACGTGACATCTTTACCTGGGATTTCCTCTTAGTGCAGCATGGTGTAGAGCATTAAATCCATTATTATTTGTAATGGTAACATCTGCTCCAGCTTCCAGAAGAACTGCCAGGATATCATCACGTTTCTTACTTATTGCATCATGAAGAGGGGTATCACCTTCAGAATCCTTTTTTTTTTTTAAAGTTTAAAGAGACTTTCATTAGTTCTTTTTCAATTAATCATTATATGTAATGTTAATACTTATAATGAACTACTGAACAAAGAAACAAAAGCAGAAGCCATATCCAACAACCCGTTAATAAAACATGCTGTGTGTTAAATTTTAAAATGCAGGCAAGAAATATTACCCTCATTATAGTAAAGAAATTCCTACTCAGTCTAGATGGAAAAGACAATAAACATGCTGTAGCTTTCCAAAGACAATAAAAAAGAAAATCAAAGAAGTACCCTCAAATATAATTTAGCAAATAACAAAATTTAATGAGGTGGAAAAGCTGCCCCCCACTGCAATTCATTAGCTTACAATGGCCTGCTATACCACATTCCTACCATTAATTGTTATACTCTAAAATTCCACACCAAACCTACACCAGTCTTGGGAGTCCCATCGTAATGAATTTAAAGTCAGTAGTTATCAACTTTGGCTGCACTTTAGAATCTGTGGGGAGTTCTTAAAAAATCCAAATACCCAGGCTGTTCTTCAGACCAACTAAGCCAGAATCTCTGGTGGTGAAAGCCAGGCATCAATAGTTTTTCAGAGCTCCCCAGATGATTATGTTGTGCAGTCACAGTTGAGAATCATTAATTCAAATGTTTTCAAAGGGCAGGAAAGTGGCTAGTTAACTCAAAGTGAAGACAAATGAAAAAGAAAATCTGACAGTCTCAGTCTACCTTTTTCTCCAGGTACTTTTTTCATTAATCAATGATTTAGCAATAAGTTGTTATTCACTATCAGTCATCTGGATAAATGGGTAATTTAGACCTTTTTCATAGCATGGTCATAAATACTATTCTCAGTAAAGCCATACATAGCCTATCCTATGGCATATACCACAGATGCCAAATCCAGTCTTCCACCTATTTTTGTAAATAGTTTTACTGGAACATAGCCACACACATCCATTTATGTACTATCTACAGCAGCTTTCAGGCTACAGTGGCAGTGTTGGATAGTTGTGATAGAAATCATAAGAAAGCCTAAAATATCATCCAGCCCATTACATAAAAAGTTTGCCAATCTCAGGTATATATTCATCCACACACAAAAAAAATTCCCAATACAAGTTCAATCCAACAATCCAACTTCTATCTGCCTATCTGGTGGCACTAAAAATTCACAGTCTCCAACTTGAGATGGGCTCTTAACATGGCTGGCATAAGCTTCTACAAGTCCTCATCTATCCTGCCTTCTGTTCCCCACAGTAGCTATTCCAAACCTTCATCATTCTTCTCAATCACCCTTTCTACACCTACCACTCCCCACTCACTCTCAACAGATGACTCTGCCTCCCATCCGAGACAAAAAAAGTTAGCAGGTATAAATCCCCACTCCTTCAACAGATTGACTCCCCTCAATTCCTCCCCCTATCCTCCAATCCAGCCATCCACTCAGAAGCTGTCGGTTCCCGACTCCATCAGTTCCAAAACGGATATACCTCAGAAAATATCAGTCCGTAGTAACCATCTAGCTAAACAAAATCTCTAATTCTTTCAGTTCTTCTCAAACCCTCAGTCCCATTACTCTGGTTCTTCATTACTTCTCTGAGATCTATCCAATTTAATTCACCTGGTTGCCAAAACTTTAGATGGGAAGAATCATTTCTTAGGTGACTCTTCCTTCAAAAATTAGGTCCTACTACAAATCAATCCTAAAACCCTATATATATTTTCCAAATCAGAAAATCTTCAAGACTGGATTAATGACTAGACCCAGACTCTAAGATAAATTAAGCTGCAATTAAAATACTTTTGATACCTCTGAAGTAACTATAATGAAATGGTGAAGTTCACTGTCATGATCAATAAAGTTAAATCAAATCAACTCAGAGCTGATATTTTCACAAGTCCCCATCCCCAACTCCCCCAAACAAAATCGATTTACTGACACTTTCTTAAAAAAGGTTTTTCTAAGAAGGAATAACTGCCAATTTTATGACATTCTATACCTTCAGTGTCATTTACTATGATTGATCATACAAAAAAGAACTGAAAACAAAAGAATGCTTACCACAAAACCTAGTACTTCCATTTAATAGAATCCTAGCAATACCTGCAGAATATATTCCTTTAAAGGTTTTACCTGAAGACTGGGATGACAGCCAAAGTCCAATAAAGTCTTCACCACTTGAAGGTGACCTTTATTGACAGCAATATGAAGTGGTGTCTGCCGGCGCTTGTTTCGTGCATTCAGATCAGCGCTGCCTCGGTGCAGCACTTCTATAACAGCACCTTCATCTCCAAAAGCTGCATGGTGAACGGCTCTATCTCCGTCTTTATCCTAAAGAGCAGCATTTAAATCTGAGTCAGTGAATATTTTAGAAAGACAAATAAAACTCGAAGCTATAATAATTCATCAAGAACCATATTAATGTGAGAAAAGGAAACAGAAAACAGAATGGAGCCAACAAAATAACTAGAAATTCGCCTGAATCGTGATTAACTCCAAAGATAAATGATGATCTGGATCATTATATCATGCACACATATACCAGACCAACAGTTATATCAGAAGTAGCTTGATTCTTCAGTACTCCTAATTTATCAGCCATGATGGTAAACCAACATTAGAAAATTTAAATCACGACACAACTATATGAAGTTTTTTTCATTTTAAAAAATGTTACACAGACTTTTTTAATAACATAAAAATTACGGGCTTCCCTGGTGGCGCAGTGGTTGAGAGTCCGCCTGCCGATGCAGGGGATGCGGGGTCGTGCCCCGGTCTGGGAAGATCCCACATGCCGTGGAGCGGCTGGGCCCGTGAGCCATGGCCGCTGAGCCTGCTCGTCCGGAGCCTGTGCTCCACGATGGGAGAGGCCACAACAGTGAGAGGCCCACATACCGCAAA